GGTTTGGCACTTGTTTTATTTAAGTGTATCTATTCGTTTTAATACACACTGTATAAATACAAGTCATCAATGTTTCTTCGACCAACTACTTTACAAGAGATTAACTCTATCAATCAAGGATTAAAAACTAATGCTGCTCCTGGACATGATAAAAGTTTCATTGATAAGAAAATTAGCCGAGCCATTATCAACAGTGATATCATTAATAATGAATAAACACTATAAAACTGGAACTTTTCCAGAAATTCTAAAAATAGCAAGAGTCACTCCTAACAATTATAGGCCAATTTCTGTCTTATCAGTTTTCTCAAAAATAATTGAAACAACACTGAACAAACGACTTCTACAGTTCTTACAAGAAAACAACTTCATCTGTGAACAGCAACATAGTTTTCCTAGCATGTAACCTTACCAATGTTTGGTTAAAGTTTTAAATGTTTTCACCGGCTACCTTGCAGTGAGGACCGTAAGTTCCAGTGGTATTGTCGCATTTCTTAAGGATATCTAATTTTATTTTTTTATATTACCCAGGTAACACTTCGTGACGATAATTTTCTGCAGATCATAATGTCATGAAAACGTGACCCAAATTTTTTGGATAAACGTCAAATTAAACGAAATCTTTACGTTTTAGAGACGATAAAAAGCTAAAGAATTTTTCACGATATAACGTAACGAAAAAGAGACTTTACTTTTCGCAGTCGTTAGGTTTTCGTAATTAAAATTGCTGCAGAATCTGTCACGAAATTATTTATTTATTTATTTAATACATCATCTAACAGTCCTTGGACCAATGACAAGATGAGAAAATTTAAACAAGTATTACATTATAAAGCCTTATACATATAAATTCATATAAAATATACATAACAAAGTTAAGACACAAAAAAAAAATTTAAATATGAAATATATGGCAAAGCAAAAACACAATAATATTATAAGGAAATATAAATAAATTAGGTATTTATAGTAATAATTGTACTTCCACACATGAAGTATAGGGGTGAAAAATTTAATATGTTTGTTTTAGGTGATGGCAGGTAAAATGTAAAATTATTTCTAGATGTAACACGAGGAACTCTAAAATAAAGTTTACTTAAGAGATAAGGGCAGTCTATACTATTTTTTAGACGTTTAAACAAAAATACTAAGGATGATTTGATTCTGCGTTTCTCCAAGCTTTCAAAATTAAACCTCTCGAGTAACATATTTTGGGGAAAACCGATTGGTGGGTAGAATCCATCAATTCTAAACCTAAGAATTTTGAGAAAACGACGCTGTATGTGTTCAAGCGAATCGGAATGTGTTGAATATGAAGGATTCCATATTACACTGGCATATTCTAATTTAGATTTAACAAAAGTGTTGTAAAGTAGACTTAATGAGAAAACATCATGAAAATCCAAGGAATTTCTGACAATGAATCCCAATTTCTTTTTACTCGCATTTATAATATTTTCCACATGCAAATTAAAGTTTAATTTGCTGTCATATGTGACCCCAAGATCTTTAATGTATTCACTTCGCTTTAGTATTCGAGAGTTCAGAGTGTAGTCAAATCTAAGAGGATATTTTTTCCTATTATAGGAAACTACATTACATTTGTCAATGTTTAGAGGAAGGTTATTTTCAGCACACCAGTTATTAATTTTATCCAGCTTGTGTTGAAGGCGTAAACAATCATCTATACCTGTGATGCAAGAAAATTTTTTAGCATCATCAGCATACAATAAAACGTCGGGACTGACGCCGTCTACAATGACATTGATAAATATGACAAACAATAGAGGTCCGAGTATTGATCCTTGAGGTACTCCTGAAGATGCAGTTATTTCGATAGACTTTGCACCATGACATTCAACATATAGTTTACGGTTTAATAAATAAGAGGAAAAAAGTTCAACTAAAAGTGGCAAGAGTCCAAATTTAAATAGCTTATGTTAAAGAATGTCATGATCAAGTCTATCAAATGCTTTGGAAAAGTCTGTATATATTACATCTACCTGTAAGTTTTTATCGAGATTGTTTGCAATAACGTTATGCACATTAAATTAGTAATTGTCGATCTATTTTTTACAAAACCATGCTGACTTACAGTAATCTGACTTTCGACATGGCAATATAAAAACTTATGAATCTCAAACATCTTAGAGAAATTATTAATTATTGCTATAGGTCTATAATTTTCACAACAATTTCTATCACCTTTTTTGTATACAGGACAGAGTTTCGACGTTTTCCATACATTAGGATATACACATGTTTTAAGAATTAAATTGAAAATTAATTTTAAAGGTTCAATAAAAGAAAAAGCACAATCCCTGATTATAAATGCTGGTATGTCATCTGGACCTTTTGTGAATTTGGATTTCAATTTTTTTAGCGCAAAAGTAATATCTGAATCAGAAAATGACAGTAAATTTAAGCAGTTAGCATCTGCTACACACGAATCCAATATTCTGTTATTTGATACAATGAATTAATCCTTAAACATACTAGCAAATCCGTTGGCAATATCTATTATCTAAAGTGATATCATTATATGACATGAGAGTGGGTATAGAAGAGTTTTTGTTTTTTGAGATTATTTTTTATGTTGTTTTCGATGGTTTTTTGATAATTTTTGTGAGCAATATTTGTATCATTTTTGATTTTATCCCTTAAATTCTTAAATTGATTGTAAATTTCAGAATTATAGTTTTTTTTATACTCTTGCCACAGCTTATATTTCCGTTTTAAATCTGATATGATCATAGAATTATACCAGGGTGGATATTTTTTCTTTTTGAAGAATGACTTTTGGGTACATTTAAATCAAAAATATTGAACAACTTTTTATAAAACAAATCACAGGCTAAATTAACGTTACTCACACTTTTTTTAAAATTCCAGTCAACTAAGCTTATATCCTCGTATAATTTAATAAAATTAGCTTTTCTAAAATTATAACCATTGTATTGATTTAAAAGTGGGTTTGCAAGATTATCTAAAGTAATGTCTGGATATATATATTTAAGGGTGGATGGTGAGGATCTATATTTAACATAATGTCATGAGAATTTTCAATTTGGCAGGCGGTGTTTGAAAAGACAAGGTCAAGTAGACGATTATTTTTATTGGGTACGGTGTTATATTGTTGTAAATCAAAGTTACTTATAAATGTACTTAAATGTCCAAAAACTCCCGCAAAGTTTAAACTGCCTACATATTCATTAAAGTTTGGAATATTAAAGTCACCAATGATAAATATTTTCTGATTTTCTAAGTAGTTTAAACTTTCAAATAATTCAAAGAATATACTATAATGATTTGTTGTTAAGGCTGGTGGAATAAAAACTATAAATATATATATTTTTATATTTCTTATTATGATTTCAACACCAACTACGTCAATTAAAGGTATGTGTTGCTTAAAAATGTCTAAATTTAACTGCCTAGAAGTTACATTACAAATTACAGCCAGCAGAACACCGCCCCCTCTTTTAAGACCAACAGAAGAAAAGTTGCGATCCGCTCTGTATACTGAATATTCGTTGCTAATTATCTCATTGTTTTTAATATTAGAATCAATCCAAGTTTCGGTTAACGCAATTATATCATAACTACACCTTAACGAAGCATTTAAAATTTCATGAGTTTTTGTGTTGAGACCGCGAACGTTTTGGTAATAAATAAGTGGGGTAGAGATGACTTTGGTGGGGGTTTTTAATTTGCGCAATTCATTGTCAGTTGAAATTATAATTGTATTGGGTAATGTTGATGGCTATAAACTAAATATTTTGGATTTGTATTCCTTAACCTTTTGACTAAATACAAAACACTTCGAATCCCATACAGCATGGCTTACTTCTAACTTTAAGGATTTGTTTACATTGTTAATATTTGTGCAGTTGATACATTTTAGTTCAGTGTTAGTTGCTTTAGACTTTTCAACTAAATGCTCCTGTGCACATCTAGGACAAACATTGTTTTGGTGAGTACAGTCTTTTGATAAGTGGTTAAATCCGTTACATTTAAAACATCTTAATATATAGATATTTAAATATCGTTATGCATTTCCTTGGAGAAAAACATACTGATTTTGTAAACGAAAAATTCACGATTTCGTTGTTTTCAAATTTGAATTAGGTACCCCACTTTATCTGCTCTGCCATTTTTTTGTAGCTTTTACCGGTTTTACAGGCCAGGTTATTTTATTCGGGTAGCTTGACGCGTGAGTTTTACGAATAGTAAAAATAAGTGTGTGATACCACAATTAAGAAGAAGACTTTTTGAGCGAAAAAGATTTAGTAGAACATAAAGTTGCGCAAGCCATGCTTTATTCTGCATTGTACAAAAGAGCAAATGAAAATAAATTGCAAAAAGACGCAGATAAAATTACTAGAACATTTTGCAAGAGGAAAACTTTAGTAGTCTCTGATACAAAAAAAAAATAATGTTTTAATGTAATAAATAATATTTTATTTAGTGATATGTTTTTTTATAGAATGCTTTTGTTTTGTTTTTATGGTGTATTTTTTCACGTACGGTAGCCCAAACTAGATTCTGGTTACCCCGTAATTTTTGCTTTGTATTGTCAATAAACGATGTCATGTGACTCGGTCACAGAGTGTCACAAATTTGTTAACTTCCTCCTCCTCGATGCCTTATAAGATTAACAATAATTTGATCTGTGATAAGAGTTTTGTTATATTACGTTTAAAATATTTGTATTAATATTACAGTTTTTCCTTTGTTTTATTAGGTTACTATTGTTACTTTTTTAAACTAAATTGAGGTTACTTTGTTACTATTGTATGTAGTTTTGTTTGGCCGAGACTCTGCTTATTTGCCACAGATTGTCTTTGTTACTATTTGAAATGCGAAGTTTAGCGGGCGCCCTGCCATTGCAAAATAAAGCGGCAAATGTTTTTGGCCTATACTTTGTCAAATTACCGATTGTTTTGATCTGAAGCCTTTTATTGTAAGGCCTCTATGAAGGACCATCTAAGCCAAAAAACATGAATGAATTTTTAACACCTTTCGTATCCGAGCTGGCAGAGATTTTGGAGAATAAGTTGACCATAAATAATAGGGAGTACACAGTCATCATAAATGCATTTATTTGTGATGCTCCAGCTAGGGCAGCTATTACATCAGTACAAACTCATAGTGGCTATAAAAGTTACCACAAGTGTGTGGTTCATGGATCATTTAAAAATACGGTCGTATTTTTTTAAACAAATTGCGCCCTTAGAACTGATAATTCTTTTAGAACGCGCGCTCATCCCGATCACCATAAGAAAGAAAAATCAGTGTTTTACCCATAGATATGGTGCAAAGCTTCCCATTAGACTATATGCATTTAGTCTGCTTAGGAGTAGTGAAAAAAATTGTAGAGATTTGGCACGGGAAACCAGGCAAAGGCAAACTGCAAGCAAATAATATAAACAGGATCTCTCAAAATTTAGAGGAATGCTACGACTTTATGCCAGAAGAATTTAATAGAAAAGCGCGAAGTTTAAAAGAATTTCGTAAATGGAAAACTACCGAATTTCAAAATTTTCTTCTTTACACCGGTCCTGTGTGTCTAAAACAAGTGTTAGAGTCGGAATACTATAATCATTTTATGTGTCTTAGCGTATCTATTTATATATTAACATCTCTAAAACATTGTCAGACTTATGGGAAATATGCCGGGGAACTCCTTCTTTGCTTTGTTCAAAACTACAAATACTACGGAAAGCGAAACCTGACTTATAACGTACACAACTTGATTAATCTGCAAAAAGATGCGGAAATACATGGTCATTTGGATCTGTTCAGTGCATTTTCATTCGAAAATTATTTAGGACGCATAAAGCATGTTTTAAGAACGGCACCAAACGCCTTGCAACAGATATACAAAAGGCTAGCTGAAATAAATTCGTTACAAACAACGGAAACAAGTATAAACAAAACAAAAAGTTGTGTTTATTTTGAAAATTTTACTCTGTAATTAAAAAAAGGGAACAATTATGCCAGCCTTAAAAACGGGGAAATTATCAAAATATCCAGCTTCAATAAAAAACAAAATCAGTTTACCGGTTGTAAGATGGAGCATTTTGAACCTTTTTTTAAAACGCCTTGTCGTTCAACAAGGTTTTCTATTGGGGTATCAAAATATTCGGAAAACGAAAAGAATTATAATTTTAGAGAAGTTGATAAAAAAATGGTAGTTTTGCCACATGAACATAATTTTGTAATTATGCCTCTAATACTTACATAATATTTATAAGGGTGGTTCTTTTAGTAAATAGTTCTACGTCATTGAATTCGAAACCGGAGAGGTTGAGGTGGTTCCAGTTTCTTAGATAATAAGAAATTGGCTTTTATTTTTGAGATAAGTACCAATAGCAATTTGTTCTAGTTTTCTTGGTCTAAAATCGCTAGGTCATATGCGGTCAAAAACTTTGCTACGGCGTTTGTAGCAAAAGACTTATGTAAGCCTAGTAGCTCCTTTGCAAATAAGAAATACGTTTGGACAATGTTAATGAAATTATCTCCAAATACACAATACAGGAACTAATAAAATAAACAACTAAGTTAATATCATACAAGACATACTGACGATTAAGACTTACCGATTATAAGAAGAAATTGTTTGGTGAATTGGCTATTGCCGAAATCCGGACTAAATCCGCTAACATCCAATAATCTAAATTATTTTTCAATAAAATAATCTACCACAACAACTTATTGAACGTAGATGGCATATGGGGAAATAATTAAATCCGTTAATTATAACGATGGCACTAAATACAACCAAATTATATTTCCTTACACAAAATAACCAAGATGGCGAGTCACCAACAGAACAGTCACCAAGAGAATGACATTTCAAGGAGAGGCTTCAGCATAAAAGATTATACTAGAATGATTTTCCATAGAGGGCCAAAGGTGATAATATTAAATTAATATTAATAATTTTAAGTAATAAGTTAAACGACTCTTATGAATATTATAATATATGTACCTATTTGAATTTATTAATTATTATATTATTTAATTATAATAAAATGTAAAAGTAAAAGATTGATTTATAGTTACAGATTTCGTTATTTATAAAGGTTTAAGAATAAATAAAGATCGCAATAAGAAATGCGTTTTTTTTGTATAAATAACTGTAAATAAACAAATCGTTTTTATTGATTCCTTTAAGGTAAATTAAACTATTTGGTAATTAATTTAAAGGTGTCGCCAGCTTTATCGAACCGCATATTAAATGTTCCAATAAAATTAATATATCATAAGATTTAGTGAAACCCTCAATTTTAGACCGTAACAACTTTCAGCCGAAACCAACTTGGAGAACTTATAAATGTGCAATTAGATACAAAAACAAAGTTTTTGGTATGTTGCATTTTAATAACAAATATGTAGTTATTTAAGTTTCTTGGATAAAAGATAATTACGCAAGAAATTGGCTTTTATTTTTGAGATAAGTACCAATAGCAATTTGTTTTAGGTTTCTTGGTCTAAAATCTCTAGGTCATATGCGGTCAAAAAATTTCAGCCGAAACCAACTTGGAGAACTTATAAATGTGCAATTAGATACAAAAACAAAGCTTTCGGTATGTTGCATTATAATAACAAATATGTAGTTGCAAGACTTTTTTTTAGTTGGTAACAATTTTTGTTCTTTTTTTGACCACTTTTATTCTAGGTTCATACCAAGAGGCTTTGGAAAAGTGTAACCATTTGCTAGACCAAACCGACTCTTCTGATTCTAACGATCAAAACCTATACCAGTCAAAAAGACGTACAAAATCTGTTAGTCAAAACCCCGATTTTAAATATTATTTGGAAGGATATATTAATAGTATGCCAGACTCCCCAAAAAGTCCGGAGGATGATAAGGATAAAACTATTACTCCTTTAGAGGAAAACAGTGTTCCAGAAGTTACTGTAATGCCAAAGGTTCTTTGTAGCAGAGACGGAGCAATCAATGTGGAGAATTTAGTTATTAAACAACTTCATTGTAAATGTGATGGTAAAAATCAATAGAGTTATTGTATCTAAGCAGCTATTTTTTTGTAGATCTTTATAGGATTTTTACTACAAAATTAGATTTAATAAAAAATGAGGTTTCAGCCTTAAAGCAAGAAATGTTAATAATGAAAAACAGACTTAGAGAGAATTCCGAATTAATAGGTACTGCCTAATATTTTGCGCTCACTGTTCTATCTAAAAATGAATTAGTCAAAAATGACTAATTGTCATAGCGAAAAAGCAGCCACTAATAATTCTCGTCAATAGCAATTTGTATCCCGAACATTTAGTAGTCAATTTCCATGTAAAATTGTCCCCTGAATCCGAAAATGTCGTCAAAAGTTAAAAAGTAAAACAGTTTTTGAGATATAGTCAATTTTCCATTTAATATGGAATTGACTATATCTGAAAAACTGCTCTACTTTCATATTTTTTTATGGTATTTTCAGGGGACATTTTTAAATTTTGAGATAACATGGTATCCCATGGTCAACCATGGTACAAGTGAAAAAGCAGCCACTAATAACTGTAGTAATTAATAATTTTTGACTAATTTATTTTTAGAGAGTTCATTTAATTATATAACAATGTTTTTAGAAAAATTTATCTACCAAAGTAAGCGCGAGTGGGAAGCTGTAAAATTTGCAGTTAATAATACAGCATCTGCAGAAAAGAAAAGACCCGAAGTTAACACCGAGCTACAACAAATATTTGATAAGATACTTTCGTTATCATCCATAGATGGCGTTAAGGTTTTGAATGAGATTTTGCAAGAAGATGAGAAATTAATATATTTTGTAAGTTAAATCCACGGTTGTTTAGAGTCATTTAACTACTTTTTTGGATCAATAAATTCAAAAAAGTTGGTGGCAAATATGCCAAAAAAAGTACACAATATAATTAAAGACTGCTTCACGGTAGATACTCGGTAAAAATACAACTGGTCGGGGGCAAACAAAAAAAATTCGAATCAAAGGTACAACGATAGTTAATGTAATTATAAATGTTCTCTTAGAAATTGAGAAGATTACTAAGGGCGACATCGAAAAGCATCTTCAATACATGTTCCAGCACACCAACGACAGGGAAAAATCAAAGCAGGTTTTATATAAATATGTAAGTTTTATTTACTTTTCATTTATATTTTAAGAGAAGATTTATATTATGAAGTGACCGACACCACAAAGCCAAAGAGTTTTTTGTTTTTTCAGAAAAATTTTGTTTTTGTTAGAATTTTGTTTTTTATTTTTTTAAATATTTTCTTGTAAATGTTTGTTTACATTTTATTTTTTTTTCCTTAGTTGCTGATGGAATAAGGGCTAATTTTCCCCTATGTGCAAAGTAAGAAGTATTTTGGTGCAATTCATTACCTACCATTTCAGCCACGTACACTCAAGTATTTTGATTAGCCAAACCATAGCCTTTAATGTGGGTGGATAATATTTTATTGCATTGCACAAAACATTTTTTCTTTGCACAGGGCGTAAAGTACACTTAAAATCGTTAGGTTCACGGATAGTTTAAGATTACCATTTTAAGCTATAGCTTGAAATGGTAATCTTAAACTCACCGTGAACCTAACGATTTTAAGTAATTTTTATATAGAAAATGTAACGCGTTTGTTGCAATTGCGTTACAAGTTCAACACGCCAAAATTGTTAAATATGTCAATATGTCAATAAAACTTACCACTATCGCGTTGAGAATACGTACAAAATTATTGAAAATTCTGTCACGGCTTACTCAATATTTCGTATCGACTTTTGTAAGGATTTCGTCTCGATTTTACCACGTACAGTTAAGTTTTTGATACTAAAACAAAGCTTAAAGTAAGAGCGGTTTGGCCACTATTTCGTATACATCGCATACCTGGGTAGTCTAAGCGATCATGTTTGGTATGTGATATCTTGGCTACATTTAGCATAACGGGTTATGTTTACACTGTTGAGGAAAGCCTGATTGGGTTTTTTTAGTTTTATTAGTCTTATTACTTAATAAGTTTTCATTTTAGTGTTGTCCTGATTAATTTAAGCGAGTGGCTCATAAATATCTAAACCAAGTTAGATTATATTGTTATACAGTGTGGAGAAACGGTTTTGATCTCCACAGTTAGACAACCCACATTACTTTAATATTACCTACGTCGTCGTGGTTTTTTATAAGCTGGGTGCAAAAAATCTCGCCATTAGTAAATTTCGCATAAATGTCACAACGTGCGAACCTTAAAGGCGCCTAAGTTTTCTTAAAATATCCGTTGGATATTTTAACCATATTTAAACCACGGCCCTGGTCGTATTTTGTAGGTAAGTTAATTTATTTTTAACTTTTTATATTTAACTATTAGACATTTTAATCTGTGCTTACCTTTTTCCTTTTGATGTCGTACCTCCACGTTTTCCTTATTTTTATTTAACTTTATGCATAGTTTGGGGTGTAATTAGTGTTTTTGTGTATTTTGTAGATATTTATTGTAAGAAATTTACACTGATTCCTCACTGGCGTGGTGTGCGCAGAAATTAAATCATTTCCCAGAGCGACTCTTGTATTATTTTAAAACTCTCGAACACAACACACCCTGAGAACAGCTGGACTAGCCACCCAGCAATCACAGCCCTTTTGCACATCGAGTTTTACACTCCAGATTGCTGTTCCGGTACAACTTGTCTACCAACTGAGGGCCTTGACTAACTGGATTAAGTCAAGTATAAATTTTCATGATGCCTTTGGAAAAAACATCTGAAAATCCTGCCAGATATGCCACCCGCAGCAGGACTGCAGCCAGCAACCAATATCTGCCATGCACACCTGTACCTGAAGGATTTAACAACCCCACAACAACCTCCGGGGGCACAGGATTACTTCAGGAGGAAGCAGCTGCATATCCTCCTATGGAAAGCTATGGGCATGCAAGGAACATCATACCACCACCAAATGGACAAATAAGAGGTGGTACTACTCCCAGGTCAACACAAGGTAAGCCCGTTTCTTTAAACTTTTTGCCACCATTATCGAGCCAAGCTAACTATCCAACACTGTCAAACGTAACTAACTCCAATGATGTAAGAATGACAGCTGCTCCTTGGCTCGGCCATGTGTGGCCAGCACCACCCTATTTATGGCCACAAAACAGTGAACCTAGAATGTTATTTAATGATAACTCAAATAATAATAATGTAGATAATCATACCTTAGGTAGTAATGTAAATATAGGTTATGTTAACCCAAATTATGCATATAATATTTGTAATAATCCTTTGCAATCGGGATCACTTGGATATAACCTACAAAACCAAAATAATTTACCCAATAATAACAATTTTCAACGTAATTTTGCTAAAATTTTTGAACTCGTACCGAAATTTGAAGAAGGCGGTTTGTTGCACCCAGTCGATTTTATCGACGGAATAGAGCGAATTATGACGTTGTATAATGTCTCCCTTAATGTTGTTGCCTTCTGGGTTCAAAGTTTGTTTCTTGGTCATGCTAGAACTTGGGCCAATGCCTTATTACATTCTTTCCCAGACTTTATTTCGTTTAAAACTTCTTTTTTGGAGCAGTTTTGGGGCCATACGAAACGCGCGAAGGTTAAATTACAACTAGAACTTGGAAAATTTGACAAATCTTTAGGTTATGTAAATTATTTCCTTACTCAAGTGGCAAAGGCGAAACATTTGCAATGCTATAGTGAACTAGAACTGGTTGCACTAATCAGTAGACATTTTCCTCCGGAAATTTCATCTTCTTTAATTGGTACAAAGAGTATTTCCGAAGCCATCGAAAAGTTAAGATTAGCCGAACATTTTGAAGCTAATTTTGACGTTTCACGGAGACTCGAACCACCCATCAACGCGCCGGCGCGAACTGATATACGGGGGAGGTTCGAGAATGTTCAGCGGTGATACGATAAGATACGTTAAGATTTTCCCAGTAAAAAACCCACAGTTTAAAAAGTTTACTAGAATATTTAAGGTGTTAAAAAATCTTGGGTTTTAAATATTGGTTGGGGTTTAATAATAGTAAAAAAAAAAAAAAGATTGAATTATTATCTTCCAAAGTTGTTACTTGATTGTATTAAGCAATGTTTTTATTATTTTTAACGGCCTTTTTGATACACCTTGTTTTTTTTTAAGTTAAATTTTGGGTATTTTAACATACATATGTTAACCACCACAGTCAATCAGCGAAAATAATTTTAACCAAGTTAGCCTCTTGAGTTTACTTACATATCCCCATTTTGACATTGTTTTCTTAGTACCGTGTTTGTTTTAGGTAAATTGTGTTGATTGGTGATTACCTAACGAGCACCTACCTGGTTAACAGAAAATTAATTTACATAAATTCTTTCAATTTTTAAGCTCATTTAAACTCGTTGTAGGGAAATCTTTTAATAAGGACTACTTATATTTAACGGTATGAAGGTGCTGAATTAATTTTATTTTTCAAATCCGTTCAGATAATAATATTTCAGTTTTTACCTTCGAATCCCTAGCATTTTTAATCTATGATCCCTTGTTCGGGTCTTCTAAGGTCGGGGGCAGATGTGGAGAAACGGTTTTGATCTCCACAGTTAGACAACCCACATTACTTTAATATTACCTACGTCGTCGTGGTTTTTTATAAGCTGGGTGCAAAAAATCTCGCCATTAGTAAATTTCGCATAAATGTCACAACGTGCGAACCTTAAAGGCGCCTAAGTTTTCTTAAAATATCCGTTGGATATTTTAACCATATTTAAACCACGGCCCTGGTCGTATTTTGTAGGTAAGTTAATTTATTTTTATATATTTAACTATTAGACATTTTAATCTGTGCTTACCTTTTTCCTTTTGATGTCGTACCTCCACGTTTTCCTTATTTTTATTTAACTTTATGCATAGTTTGGGGTGTTAATAAGTGTTTTTGTGTATTTTGTAGATATTTATTGTAAGAAATTTACACTGATTCCACACTGGCGTGGTGTGCGCAGAAATTAAATCATTTCCCAGAGCGACTCTTGTATTATTTTAAAACTCTCG